GTGCTGGCTTTGCACTGTCAGGAAAACATGAGTCCTTATTGCTTTGCAAACCCCATACAAGATAAAGCTTCTGTTAAGAGGTCTTTCACTGTGTCACATCATCCCTTTGTCTTTAATACATACACAAACAGCACATTTACTGAAACATCTCATGGGGATTGTCTTTATCATTTTTATCCTCCTATTTGTTTTTACTATCATTACTGAGAGTAATTTTCTCATTTTACTTAAATTGAAAACAATTGTAATTGAATAAATCTGAACTGCAAATAGTTAAACAGTTTTATGGTTAGAGCCATGTACAAGACAACACTGAAATTGTTAATAGAGGTACTTTATTATGGTTACAGAAATCAGGGACAGGTTAAGGATGAATAATACAAGTGGAGGTTCAAGGTAAGGTAAGGTTCAAGGTAAGGGTGTGGCAAATGAAGGCTTACTGAGTACCGATTCATTTCACTTGCTCTGGCAGTGAACAGAAGCTCAAACTGCTGCCTGCCAGGAGGAAATGTAGAGTAATTAATTGTAGGTGCAGTAGGGAGGAGCTATTCATAGACGCTGCAGTCAAGGTATTTAGTAAAACAACATTTATTCCAAAGGAAACAGTGCCAGCACACAGTTTCATGTAAAGAGCACACTTGTTTTGGACAGATTTGTGGAATTGAAAGCATGACTCTGATCCTCAGTATAGCACTTAGAGTGCAGACATGGAGCTCATGCACAGTGCAAAGTCTTGTATTTTCTTCCGTGGACTAGTGCATTATTTTTTTTTATCCTGAACGGCATTGTTCTTTAAATATTTATCCACTGGAACTATAGTTAGAGAAGTGACCTTCGTTCCTTGAAGCCAAGTCAGAGCTTCTGCAGAGGCTTGGTGTTGTTTTAGTGCCGGTTCAGACAGATATCAGTACCACATTAAAAAACAAAAAAAAAGTAGTCCTCTCAGGATGCAAAGAGCCTGAATTTCCTGAACTTCCTAAATCCTATTTTATCTTGTCTCCAAGCACCCAAGATGACACACCTACAGATTCTTGGCAACTAAAAAAAACTGTTTTTTGAAAAGCACTGTGTGAAATGGTGAAAAGCTCTCGGACAAGTAAAAATCATTTGGTTTGTCAATAATTATGTGAATGCTGACTTTATCGGACTGTGTTTAGGAATAGGCTTTGTGTTCTTAGAGTATTGTGCAAAGTGAACTCTAATGGAATTAAGCAAGAGTCATGGATCTTTGTCACAACCCACAAATTCCATTTCACAGCAGAGTGCATGAAAACAATTCCAGACACCATCAGGTTCATCCAAGCCTTTGTGTGTGGTTAAAGGTTTGGGTGGGGCCTGCTATAAATATAGAGGCAGCGGTTTTGGCAACTAACCTGACTGATGGTGCTCATGGCCCTCATGTAGCTTTCATTGCGTGAGCGGTATTGGGGTGAGGACAGCAGCGATTTGGGGTCGAGGAGGGTTTTGGGATCCAGGGTATCCAGGCTTCTATTGATCGAAACCTCACTCACCGCACGCAAATAACTGTGGCTCCTGATCTGCAGTTTAGGGGAGTGTTCCGTCGAAATCCTGCCAGAGGGACAACAGGGATGCAGAGTCATACACAAAGTTATTTCTGAAATGTCATAATACTCATTCAGTCAGTCAGTGTCCATACTACAAGGAAAAATGCATAATTGAGCCACATGTGCAGGGTCATTCAGTGATTTAGCTTGAAAATTCATTCAACATGCACATATTTATCAACCACCTGTCGTTGCTTTGGCAGACTCGTGTCACACAACCAAGTCAGGCCTTATTGTATAGCTCCTTGTCTTAAACTGTCGTACAAAGGTGTGGGCATTACAAAAAGCCGCATAGCTAAATTTGTTTGTTTGTGTGGTTTAAACTGCTGATCTAATTTAAAATGTTAAAAGTCACACCACTCCTTATGGGACCAGCTTGACACCATGGAGTTAGGTCACATTTCTTGTTGTGCCGCTAAGAGGTGGCAAATTTTGTTTTATTTAGAGCACAGTTTCACCTGATTTTATGGCATCATTACTTTAAAGTTTATTATTAACATCTGTGTAATCATGTTACTTTTTTGTTACTTTGTCAACAAATGGCCATAAGTCACTTTTGAAAGACCCCTGAAGAAGACCACAAACAAACCTGGTCTTGGCCTGCTCCTTATTTGCTCCTTTTTTTTTTTTTTAAAGAGGATTATATTCTTGCAAGCCCCTATAATTCTCCTGTTTCAGAGAAGTTGCTAAAAGAGACAAAACACTAAAGCTCAGTATTAAAGGAATCCTAGTGAGGCAGGCCCAAGCAGAGCCTCCACTTTGCTTAAGCAAATGACACTGCAAAGCAGCTTAGCATCAAGTAAGCAGAATTTTGAAGATCCAGACCATTCATACACAGGAGACCTTTACCATAGCACTTTAAAGACTAAAACAGTATATAGATACCACACTGAACTTGAAGATTCAAACATTTTTGAAAATTCTATGCTCTGAGATGGCTCTGATAAGAGGAGTTATGCCAGGCACCTTCTACACACATGTCCCAGTGCCAGCAGCTACGACACAAAGTCTGCAACCTAACAGTTTCCTCTGATTTGAACCATCAGCAAGGACTGTATTCACTGTCGTAGCCACAACTCACAGGGCAAAATAACATCCTCTAGTCTGAGCTAGCACCATAATCCTACACAGGTCACATACACATGTCGTGTTTGATTTGGTCCTAAATAGTGCTATACATGGGGAAAGGAAGGGCAAAACCCCTGTTTCACAACTCTTTTGTTTCTAACCTAAATTTCTAGCACACACATATATTGCTATCTTTACTCACTATTGTTCTGCTGTCTATTTGTCTTCCTATATGAAATGCAATCTATTGAATATAATTATTCATCTCATCACTTTGTAAATGAATAAGTAAATTTCAAAATTATAACACTTGTTATTCTATAACAGTTGCTTGTCTTATTGTTGACACATCTCAATTTTAGGGCAACAGACTTTAGTTATTTGGTTATTTACTGTTATCCATCCAATACATTTTCTATTCTTAAACATTTCTTATGATTAAAGAAGGTTCTTTTTAAAAAAAAAAAAAAAAAATGGACCCCTACTGACAAAAGACGAAACACAAGACACACATTTCTAAACACAAAGCAATTCGAAAAGATTGCTGCTCAGTGATAGAACACAACCAAACACTGACAACAACAAAAAGATTATGATGGAAATGTTTGCAGCAAAAATATTGTCACGGGGAGTTAGAGACCAGGCGCAGACATAAATTGCGCACACCAAGATACAATAGAAATATTTATTAACAAATAATACCCATACAAAGAGAAATAATTCATGAAAGAGAATTAACTAAGGGGACATGTGGAAAAGGGAATTGACGTAGGGGCGTGGGAAAACTGAACTACAGCTGGAATGTAACAAATAGAGAACACCAGGGGAAATACACTGAGGAAGCACAGGACTATGGAAACTGATGAAGGACAGATGTAGTTCACCAAACTACAGAGGATACTATAGGCTTAATCTTATAAATATATCAAACGTCAGAAGCAGGAAACTAACCAGAACCTAGCACTCCAAGGCTAGGGAAGTTTACAAGGACAGGAATGAGCTACAGAAGTCAGAATAATGCACACATGGTGCAACACACAGATTACTAGGCTCAGGAACAGGATGCGCACTAAACGTACAGTCATACAAGGAACGCTAAACAGAATGCGGAGACAAAGTGTTACATTGCACAGAACTGTGGAACACTACTCTGGTGGAAAATGCAGAAAATGCATGCTAAACAGTATATAGTGCTAACCAAACACTAACAACAAACCAGGGAATGCACAGTTAAACAGACTATCCAATGAGAGTCAATCTACATGAAACAAGTCATGAACAACAGAACTAAACTACTTAGCTGACAGGCTGAATAGGGAGAAAGGACAGGGGAATGTGGGCAGAGGTGGGTCCTTTTTTGCTCGATAGAGCCCTGGGACTGGATAATTTCGAGGCCATCGCACCCAGTTTTCCACCTGAACCTGCTCCCTGTGACTCTAAGGAGCCACTTCCTGGAAGACGTTCGAGGAAGAGACGTGGCTCCTGGCAACGCCAGAACTCGCCGCTCCCCAGCGCCTGGACTTCGCTGCTCCCCGACATTGTGGCGGTCCCGCCACCGAGCGTCCAGACCTCGCCCCTCCCCAGCGTCCAGACCTTGCTGCCGAGCGTCGCGGAGGTCCCAACACCTAGCGTCGCGGAGGTCCCACCGCTCCCACCACACCGGTCCTGCATCCTGGTCATCCCCGGGCAGGTGGACGCTGCCACTGAACCGGTTCCTGCCCCTGTTCTTGGGCGGGTCGACGCTGCCACTGAGCCGGTTCCTGCTCCTGGACGGGTTGATGCCCCTACTGAGCCGGTTCCTGATCCCCGGCAGGTTGACGCTGCCACCAAGCCGGTTCCAATTCCTGTTCCCTGACGAGTCGACGCCACCACCGAGCCGGTTCTAGTTCCTGTTCCTGGATGGGTCGACACCGCCTCTGTTCCTGTTCTTGAGCGGGTCGACGCCATCTCTGTTCCTGTTCTCCAGCGGGTCGACGCCGCCTCTGTTCCTGTTCTCGAGTGGGTCGACGCCGTCTCTGTTCCTGTTCTCCAGCGGGTCGACGTCATCTCTGTTCCTGTTCTCCAGCGGGTCGACGCCATCTCTGTTCCTGTTCTCCAGCGGGTGGACGCCATCTCTGTTCCTGTTCTCCAGCGGGTCAACGCCGCCTCTGTTCCTGTTCTCGAGTGGGTCGACGCTGTCTCTGTTCCTGTTCTCGAGTGGGTCGACGCCGTCTCTCCTGTTCCTGTTCTCGAGTGGGTCGATGCTGCCTCTGTTCCTGTGCCTGAGTGGGTCGACACTGCCTCTGTTCCTGTTCTCAAGTGGGTCGACGCCGTCTCTGTTCCTGTTCTCGAGTGGGTCGACGCCGTCTCTCCCATTCCTGTTCTCGAGTGGGTCGATGCCGTCTCTTCTGTTCCTGTTCTCGAGTGGGTTGACGCCGTCTCTACCGGCTCGGGGTGCTGGGACCTGCCAGAGTCGGATGACAATCCCACTGGCAGAGAGACTGCCCCAGCCTCTGATGCACCTGAGCCTTGGCCTGCTCCAGAGGGGCCCCACCTTCACCAGCTCCCGACCCGGGTCTGGCCTCCAGAGGGGATCTGCCTTCGCCGGCTCCTGGCCCAACTCCAGTTTCCAGAGGGATCCCGCTGTTGTTGGCCTCCTGAGGGATCCCGCCTATGCCGTCGCCGGCTTCCAGAGAGATCCCACCTCCTTCGTCACCAGGCTCCAGCCCAGCCTCCCGAGGGACTCTGTCTCCTTCGTCTCTGTGCTCCAGTCCGGCTACCTGAGGGGTTCTGCCACCTTAGTCTCCGGGTTCCTGTCCGGCCTTCCCTGGGATCCTGTCTCTTTCGTCGCCGGCCTCCGGGCCATCCTTAGAGTTTTGAACTGTTTTTGATTAGTCTCCAGATAAGTCTGGTCGGACGCCAGGAGGCGTCTGTTGAGGGAGGTGTACTGGTGGGATTCGAGTTTTGTGCCTTTGTTTTGGTAGTGTTCTTCCTGTGTGTTTTGCTGCGCTGCTGTGTGCTCTGCATTTTCAGGCTGGGCGGGGCCATGGTCGAGGAGGACTCACTTGCTCTCCACCGCACCTGTCCCTCATCATTATCAGCGCTCCTCTTAAGCTGGCTTCTCCCTGTGATGCGGTGCCAGAGGATTCACTCCCCTATGAACGGTAGATCGGCCACGCTTCTTCTCGAGTTCTTGTGCTTGTTGTTTGTTTGTTTTACGTTGACTTCTTCGTTTCGGCATTCCCTTCAGAGCCTCCTCAGCCTGACGTCTCCCCAGCTCAGCCATCACAAATCAACCACCAGCAGCAGCCCTTCGAGTTTCCCCCCACTGTACCACGAGCACCCTCTCCCTGGAGAATGGATTCCCCCTTGCACTGGAGCACACCGCTGGAGCTCCCAGAAGCCCTCTCACCCCCTCTCACGAGCAGCGTGAGAGGGGGTGCACCGGCGTGCACCAGCACTTCCCCCTTCTGCTTCCTTGGTGTCCTCACTCCGTCCCCGAATAAAAACCCTGTTTATTATTGACCTTGTCTCCCTCGTCGCATTCTGGGTCCACTTTCTGTAAATTAGGAGCTCACTCCTAACAGAGAGCCAAGTGCACAATATTTATCCTACATGCAGCACACTGGACAGAAAGTGACATCATGCATATTAATGCCTTCAAAACAAAGGACTAAATCTGAATTCAATATGTTACAAATTTTAATTGAATGGCAGCTCATAAACTGTGACTGTCATCTGTACAAAATGCTGTTGTCACTTGTGCAGAAATGCACTTCTGTTCAGACTTGGATCGTTGTTAAAATTAATATGGACATTATGGGATGATGTGAGTTTGTTGCTAACAACTTGTTTCCGCAGCTTTAAAAAATCTGATAAAATGATGTAGGCTGTAGTCTTTTTTTTGTTTTATTGAGTTTTCTGTATTTAGAATTTGGTGGGTTTTCTAAATTTGCAATTTCTTTTTAAGTCTAGCCTGATATTACAATGATCTTTATGACACAATCACTGCAAAACCTTGTGAACACTGTGGGTTCTCTTTGAACAACAACCATGGTATATATTATATAGGCTATGTTATTAATTGCTGAACCTCGATTGATTCTGTATGTTTATTGAAAGTCTGCTCTTGCCATATAAGAAACCAAATAACCTGAATTAGCAGTAAACTGAAAATCAACTGCAAAGTTTGGACTTTTTGTAATGAACTCAAATTAAAATTTCTATCATCAAACATGCATTGCTAAAAACAAAAAAGAACAGCCAAATTCCGTATCCCACTCATGAAATTTGACATCTCACAAAAAGATGAGAAAATCTGCGTACGTGTGTGTGCGTGCATGCGCATGCACAACTCTGTTGTACATCCATATATCAGACTCACTTCAAACTAGGTGACTGTATATTGCTGGTGACCTAAAGAAGTGCAGTACTGAGCTTGACAAAGGTCAGCAGACAAACTTTTGGAGGTCTTTTTGGGGTCCTCAGTGGGACTTTGACTGCTTGTGACCTGAGTTTAGGTTACCAAGGCAACACCAACAAAGGGAAGAAGGAAAAATGTATGATGTTCTATATTGATTTCATAATATGACAACTTCACACTTGGCAGGTGTATTGCTGGCCACCCAAGGAAAGGTAGCATTGACTTTAAAGTTGTTTGGAAGAACAGTGGCCATTTTAGGGGTCTTTTTGAGATTCTAAGCTTGGTGTAGGCAGAGGTTAAGTCTCTCCTTTTGCTAGACAGTGTTATCAAAGGTAAATGAAAGATTTCTTGGTGATTGCGTATTTTGATACGAACCAAACAAAAATAGGACACATAACCATAATAAATGAGCCATTTCCCAGATGGGAAAAAAATAAAGTGAAAAAAAAGAGAGATTCACGATAAACATCTAGAAAAGAGGGACAGAAACAAGGAGATCTTACTGTAGCGTGGTCATCTCAGTCAGTGATGGTTGTGTGGCTTTTAGGTAGCTAGCCCGGCGTGCTTGAATCTTGGGGGAGGGTTTGGGACTCCCGTCAGAGTCTCCACTGTCATCCTCTGCCATGGCTTTGACATAGCTGCCGCTCCTCATCCTCCGACAAGGGATATCGTCCTCTTTCCCCAGAGGAGAGAAGCCGCCCCACTCATCCTGAGGTACCTGATAACCAGGCGAAGAGGGCAAAGAAACAGCGTCAGGATGATCTACTCCACTGCTGTCTGAGTTCCAGCCACTAAACTGGCTAACTAAACTGTTCTGATGGTACATAGAACCTATGAGAACAGAGCTTGCATTCAGCACAGCGATGAACACGAAACAGAGTAAGATCTGGCATCCAGAAGCACAAACTGCATTAAACTGATGGCTGGTATTTTTTATTAATTCATTCCTCTCTTCCAGACATGCATCCAAACACAGCTCCCCCATTGCTGTGGTACAGTCTGCTGACTAATTAGCATGACACTGTATATGTAGGGGTTGGTCTAACATTTCTCTCTGGCTAATTCCTACATCTGCTTTCCAGGGTTCAGTTTCTTTCATCAACACAGAATTGCACATACACAAGTACAGCAGAGTGTTTAATGTGTGTATGTTCATTTAAGTGCACATGTTTCTGAACTGATCTGACCTGAGGGTCTGCTTGTTAACGGAGAAAGACTTGGTACCTTAGTGGTGTAACATAATGGTGAGCTACAATAACTGCAATTGAATAAATGAAATGAAGAAATGTACGAATAAACATCAAAATGAATCACCTTTCTACAAATAAATTGGATTTGCAATTTTTTTTCTAAACATAAGGCAAAGAGGTAAAATAGGATTTAAATATTTTTCAGTTGAAACAAGTGACTTAAGTCACATAAACAACACATTATTCTCACTTTGCTAGAGCAGTGACTATCCAATCAAATATGTAGTTTGGATATTCTTGATCCATTTTTTGCCATGTCCTTCTCTGAGATTTCTGCTGCATGTGGCATGCGCATAAGGCATGTGGATTGTCCAGAGTAACAAATACGCTGCTTTTTAAAGTCAGGCTACAAATGATAGAAATGTATCAGAACAAACAGTGTCATGCAGCTTGCTGTGTATGAAGCTGTACATCTGCAAACCAGTCAGAGGCCCATTGCTTACCCCTTTAATGGTGACAACATGGCAAGAAGAGGTTCTTTGCTAAACAGGCAGAGACATTTCAACTATGTTTGCTATATAATGTTCGCCAAATTTATTATTTTATCTTTGCAATGGTTAAGTGATAGAACTCATGACCAAAACAAAAAATGTACAAATGAGAAATAGCACTAATCTGAAACTCAACAAACTGCTTTCAAGACAGCTTCAAGCTAGCTAGATTACTTGCAAGAAAGCTATCAGCAGAGCTATGGTGAGCGTGACAGTGGGAGACAACCCTGAGATACTTGACAAAATTTGCAACATGAATAACAGAAATACAAAACGTGGTAGATGATTATGTGACAGTAATTAAAGCCAGTCTGGACTCGTTAAATTAAGATGTGGTTAACTGAGGCTCAGAGACTGTGAGGCAGAGAAAAGATTGCTTCTCACAACTGGAAATATGCACCTGGCCAACCAAGCGCCGAACATGTATCGCAAAACTGTACATCTCAAGGCTTTTCACAAACACAAAAAAACTAGAGCAGAAGACACAACATTCAGATTAAAGGAGTACGAGAACACACAGAAAATAGGCTACTTCTGAAAACATAAATAAGATGATAATTAAAAGGACACATCAGACACCCACCACATTAAAACATAACGCATTACCAGGGCAGGGACCAACAAATCAATGGTCCTGTCAAATTCTGGCAAGATTTCTATGTTTTACCAACAGAGAAGAAGTAAACAGAGAGAGGATGGTACAATATCACACCCTACAACCTTTATTACTAAACATGAAATGGGGACGTTGAAGTACAGTGTTCAGTGCACTGGGCTACACATATCTTAACATGGGACAGTTCATATCTAGCTCCTGTTCTATGTTGAGTATAGTATTTTGATCTGATTACTTAATACTACTGTCTTAAAAACATACTCTGTTTAATGTATTTTATGTTATTAGACTAAACATTTCACTCTTGGAAACATTCTGACACAGTTTCATCTATGCAGTCTTACAATCATTTGCTGCGATGCTCAAATCCTATTTAGAGTTACATTTTGTTGAAGAATTTGTCATAGGTCATATTTATAGAGGTCAATATATACTGTTAACTCATCTGGAGGCACATAGTGTTGTGTTTTTTTCAGTAAAGTTTATTGTCAAGGCAGAGAGACAGGATTTAAAGACAAAGAAGGGTGAATAATACTACGCATGGTTCTAATTGATCACAAAAATGTATGAATTATTTGGTTCAGAAAAAAATGGGAATGTGTTTTGATTCTAAAGAAAAGGACAGTGCTCTCTACCCAACCCAGTCTCACGGCAATTCGTGAAATAGTCGTGAAACTTAATCTATTGATTCGAATTGCCCAATTTTTTCATTTCCCTTACCACAAATTTCAAACCAATACATTTCAATTGGACTTATCTGGACCATGTCTTTCCCCTATTAGACAGTGCATATGCTGTGATGTTTTTGTCTTTCCTTTATTCCACCAGTCAGGCATTAACTAATTTTAGCTAAGCCTAGCTGCTGCTGCGGCTGTTGCTGCATCTTCTCCTGATTTGGCGGTTGGCATCCAACATTCAGGGGCATTACTGCTACTTACTGTACACACACAAAAAACAAGACAGATTCTGTAGGACGGGTCTCTTCCTGGTCTACGGTGAGGCTGCGTGCCGATGTTAATGGGGTTGCTTTAGCAATGAGCGCAAATTTCCCCCAAACACTGCCAGTGTAATAAAAACACAAAAATTTCCACAAGACGATGTACTCTTTTACACTTATTTCATACTACATGTATTATACTTTAATAGTAGCATATTTGTCAGTACTTTAATCTGTTTATTTTAGTTTATTAATTCAAAAACACAACCCTTGGTGTAAACCCCAAGAATAACTACATATTTCATGGCGTGTCCAATCATGTTGTAACGCTATTGGAAGTTGTAGTTTTTTAAAAGATGCACCAAAGTCAAAGTTTAAAGGTCAGTATCTCTAAGCAAGGGCAACTCTGATCTCCCAGACTGGCATAATAAACATAAAGTTTTAATTTTCACCCCTCTGGACTCAGCCCTGTATCAGGGGTGTTGCTTTCTAGGAGATGTGTGAAGCTCAATTGGATAAAATGAAATAAAAATAATTTTATTCAACATAGTGGGTAAATTCTTCAGTGACAGCTCTGTTTTAACTTACTGGAACCCATGGGTGTCATTTTTGGCCTCGTTGAAGATGTTTGTCCTGGTTAAATCCTGGTTCATACTATCCTAACCCTAACACTGAGGACATCGTTAACGGCTGCTTTGTCTCCTCAGGAAAACTTCAGGGTCACACTCATTCATGTGTTTTAACAACAGTCATATGGCTATTCGGCTATACAGTATATAATAA